TCTATGCATGTAAAGTAGACAACAACAAAAGGCAACTAGTGATGTGAAAGAGGAGGATGGTTCTTATCTTCTAGACTCCTAGGTTGTGTGTGTGTGTGTGTGAGAGAGAGAGAGATAGAGAGAGAGAGAGAGAGAGAGAGAGAGGTGCACTAGAATCTTTCTCTCTTCTCACTACATATATTTCACTCCATACCCATTAAAATAAAAGTGAGAAAGTGCATTAGATAATTCAGTCCAAATAAAAAATAAACTAACACGCTTCAACAAATCATTAAAATAATGTCTTGCTTAACCATACAACGTCAAATGATATTAAACAAGTAAAATTAGTCATAATTTGTTGATTGTACTGTTCATCCTGCCCACAAATATTGTCTTTTGTTGTAACACTAATGTTTTAATTACTTGAGTAATAAGAAAGAACACTTTCAATTAAGTACTGAAACAATAAACACTTTGTGTGCACTCGTCTAGAATGAATTTGATGTCAATGACGAGATTTATGTCTTTGCGTTAAGATGATAATAACGAATGAGTTTATAAGAAAAAAACCTTTATAACAAGAAAATTCATACCAAAAGGTGAAAAAATATATTTAGTTATTGACAGAAAAATATATTCTTTTAATTTGAAATATGTTAAATTAGTGTGTTTTTGAGTTTATTATAATCTCCTTTGTAAAGATATTATAACGATATTAGTAACGAATCTCATAAAATGCGTAAATAATAAGTTTTAGTTTGGTTTGGATTAAAATTTCAAGTCAAAATTAAAAACTATTTTGAATTTTATGAAATTCATAACTTTTCAATCATATATTTCATCAACTTTCATTCAAAAAATTTATTAAAAAAATATAAGTAACTTAATATTTCATGAACAATGATAATAAAATAGTCCCTTGAGAATATCAGTAGGCCTTAAGCCAACAAAGTTGCAAAAGTGATAATTGAATCATGCTTCCCGTACACTCTAGTTTAGACTTTTCCGCATGTCAAATTGTCTTTTCATCTAATCACTTTTTGACAACAACACAAGTGCCAATAAAGGTCTAGATATTGGGTGTACACGTGATGTCAAGCGTGTGTGTGGTATCATCCTCTATGTCAAGTATTATGTTTGTGTAGCAAAACTTTCTTGTAGAGAATTAAGCTAAATGAACATAATACTTGACATATGGGTTGACAGACATCCCACATTACATGTGGGTCTCGACTTGTATTAAAAAATGTCAACCTCCCACATGTGTGTGTGGTGTCATCCTCTATGTCAAGCATTATGTTTGTGTAGCAAAATTCTCTTGTAAAGAATTAAGCTAAATGAATATAATGTTTGACATAGGGGTTGACCGACCTCTCACATTACATATGGGTCCCGACTTGAATTAAAAAATGTCGACATCCTCCATGTGTGTGTTGTGTCATCCTCTATGTCAAGTATTATATTTGTGTAGCAAAACTCTCTTGTAAAGAATTAAGCTAAATGAACATAATGTTTGACATAGGGGTTGACCGACCACTCACATTGTATGTGGGTCCTGACTTGAATTAAAAAATGCTGACCTCCCCCATGTGTGTGTTGTGTCATCCTCTATGTCAAACATTATATTTGTGTATCAAAACTCTCTTGTAAAAGTGCATGTTTCCTAGTGTCGCTGTCTTAAATTTTGTGACAAATCATAAAAGACCAATCCTATTTCGGGTGGATATTCACTAATTGGAAAATTGCTATTGAGGTCCTCAATCTTTATAAACTATATTTGTAGGGTCTCTATTAAATTTTTTTGAGGCCTTTAGGTTGCCAATCTTTACGAAAGTAAGCACATACTGACATACGACTCCAATAATGGAACCCCAAGTATCTCTCATAGAAGCATATACCTTGCACGTGATCTCCCCTTTAAGGTACTTCAATAAACTTATCTTTGTTTCTCTCTAAAATGAATTTAAAAATAATAAAAAAAAAAGTGGAAAAGAAAATCAAAGCCATTCCTAGATATCACTCATGACTCCTAACAAAACCATCGCCCCCAAATATTATATTTAGAATCCTTTCAACAATTATGTTTAGAGTAATGATATTCAACATAATTGGTGTCAAACATCTATATAGGTGGTAATTATATGACGTTAAATGATACATTAACTTAAATACAATGTCACATGATTTATTTAGGCCTTGTCTAGAGCCGATTATTTGGGCAAAAAAATTGATTATTTGATCGTTGGAAGGCAGTCTGGGTCCCGCCAATGTGAGGGAGAAGTCAAAAACTGCTGCTAGGTTGTGCTTCCAACGATAAAAAAAATCAATTTTAATTTAAAGCAAAAGCTCTCCCA